TACTTCTTTTTTCAGCACTGTTGCTAAACAATTCTCATATTTATAAATTATTTATTTGCAGAATAATTATAAGATTGATTGCTATATTATTATTAAATAATTATAATTATTAATTAATCTCAACTCAGTGATTTTATACTATTAAATAGTTTGAATAAAGTTTATTTTACATCATTATATCTTTTTTTTAAATTTTTTTCAATTATTTTTTTTAGTAAATATTTAAAATAAATTTATAAAAAATTATATATTTAATATTTTTATATAAATAATATTTTAAAAAAATCTATTACTATTTTTTTTATTTTATATATTTATTTCTATTTTATTAATTATTTATCTATAATATATTTTATAAAAAAATATGAATTATAAAAATATTTGAAGTATTATTTATATATTATTATTTTTTTTCTCTCTTTCTATTTATAAATTATACAAAAAATTAAATTGTTATAATAAAATAGTATTAAAATAAGAAGTAAATAGTATTATTATATGAGTTAATCAATGAGAATATAAATAATTAAAATTAATTAGCTGAGAAAGTAGATAAATTTATAGTTATCTTCATAATTGAAAAAAAATCTAAATAATCAAAAATACTAATAAGTAGATAAAGAATTATATATATCTTTAATCAATCTAATATATGAAAAATAAATTATTAACTCTTTAAATAATAAATCAGATAGTTAACTTAATAAAGTTTTTATTAATTTTCTCTTTTTTATAAATATACTTAAGTATTAATCTATTTAATTAATGAAAGATAATATCTTTTATAAAGATAATTATAAAAATAATTATTTTATTCTTTATATAATAAATATTTTACTATCAGAATAGTAGTAATACTATAAAAAAATAGTTTTAAAATATAAAAAATTTTAATATCAAAATAATATATTTAACTAGATTTCATGATGATGATATAAAATATAAAAGATATAGATATCAAGAAAAAATCTTTATTTAAATTTCATACTTATATTATATCTTATAATTATATTAAATTTTTTAATTATAATAATTATATATATACTATAAAACTGAATTACTTTATTTTTAATAAAAAATTTTTTTAATATAAATAATAATATTATATATATAATAATTTTATATAAGTGATAATAATTGAAGTATTAATATAATAAAAATTAATATTTCTAAAATAATTTTATTATTAAAAATTAATATTTATTATATTATTTTTATTATTAATTTTATTAATTTTATTTTTTTTATTCTAAAATATTTTCTTCTTTTATTATATTTTATTTGATTTAATATTTTATAATTTTTTTATAACTTTTTTTCTTTTATATATATCTTATAAATATATATATTAGATAAAAGATATATTATTTTCTATCAACATCTTTCTACTAATATGACTAAGTAAATTATTTTATTATTTTCAAATGTCTTTAAATTTCTGAAGTATCACAGTTGACAAGATAATAAAATGCAGCGAAATTTCAGTTATAAAAATGCAACTGAAAAGTAATTAATAAGTGTTGTAATTTCTTTTTGTTCTGATGTTGTGATGTTCATTCAGTTGTTCAATTTCTCTGATAACTGACTGTTGACAAGTTCAGATTCATATCATAACAACACTTCATTCTTCTTGACATATCTCATCTGAAGTAAAAAAAGAACAAAAACAATTAGAACTTCATCTTGTTTTCTTCTCTCTGTCTTTTGTTTGTCTTCTTTATCATCCTGTCAACTGCAATA